GGTCATTATTTAAGGTTTTGTAAAGAAGCGTTAAAAAAGATTTAATACAATATTCTTTTAAGTGATAAGTAAATGTGTGTTTTATTTAATTTTTGAGCTTTAAAGGTTTTTATTAGAGTGCTGTTTATGGTGATCTTAATTCATGTTCTTGATCATTTGGAAGATCCCGGAGATTTTTCCTAGAAATCATATATATACCCCGGACCTTTGTCCTTTACTTGGAATCGAAGAGCTGACTGGATATATTAAGGATGTTGACAAATGGCTGAAAATCTAGTCCCGTCGATTTCTTTTTATACGTTTTAAATGGTAACTACAAATCCTGAAACGGCAAAAAAAGTAATAAACAATGAGTAGCGAAGAGTCGTAATGACGATGCTGTGTGGGTATTATTATTCACCTTTTTAACAATCTGTAGCTTTCATAAATGAACAAGTGAGTTCAATATTACCGATAACAGAACCTTCATAAATATGGCTCGCCTGGATATTATAGAATTCGTATATACAGAGATTTATGAAGACGTTTGAAAGAGGTCTAACCCAGTTCTGAAACCAATAAAAACCTTTTATGGCACATCCAACACGACTTTCTGCAATTATTTAGTTCACCCTTTATTACACATAAGTAATGTCATGGGGAAAGTCACCCCAGAATGATTCTCGACTGCTTTTAACCTTTCTCAAAAACTCCAATTACGACCTAATTAACAGTGCCTAATTACATCCGGCCACGCCCACTCTACGCCCAAAAGAACTCCACCCATAACCTTAAACGCATTTCTCTTGTGCAGTTGCCCAGAGTCATGGGAAAATTAAATGCTACGCGAATTATTCGATCTCTTTTTTAGTTTCGCCAATTTGGCAAAGTCGAAAGGAGGAAGCGGTACTCGAGGCTGGAAACAATTTATTGGAAATGCAATTGAAAATGCAGCAAGCGTGTCGAGGTCGATTCAGAAAAATGCCAGCCATCGAAACGTTTTGAACTTGCGGCAATAAATTCTTCGTTTTTGGCAAGCTATAAAATATCCAAAAGAAATAAAAATCCTAATGAAGAGCCAGGGCTCAAGTCAGAGCCTACAAATTGTATTAAAAGTTATACGCTTCCATTTTAGCCAGCACTCAGGGACTGTTTTCGTTTTGTGGCTTCATATTCATTGGAAAATTACTCACGTTTTAGGGGAGCGAGACACCGAGGGTATGGGTTGAACGATAGTTGAGCCAAAGAGCCGGAAAAGTCGACTACTTGTGATCTTTAACTTCGTTGGATACGCTTACGCCCCATTTCATGGAGAACATTAAAATATCCCACTACCGAACGGACTAATTCGAGTTTTCAACTTATTTACTCTTTTCCATGTCCATCTCGGGCGGGCAAACAAGTTGTCAGACCACCGGACTATCCATGACTGACTGGCTAACAAGTCGTTTAACGCCCACTCAGCTCCTGTTTTTGGTCCTTCCGAGCCCCTAAACATATGCCACAAATAATTTGTTATTCAATACGAAACACGAAAAAGTACACAAAGCGGCAAACGAGCTTCAACAATTCAACACACACTGGACATTTAGTAAATTGGCTAACAACTTTTTGTTCGGCTCCGCTGTTGTTGTTGTTCTAGTGGTTGTTGTTGTTGTTGTTATCGTTGTTGTTGTTACGTGATTGTCCGGTGAGAGTGTGTGAGTGTGTATCCGTGTTTGTGTGGGGACAGAACAGCATGTTGCTCTGTGTTGTGTGCCATATGCTTGACCACAAGCAAAAACCGAACCAGACGAAACGTGGGAAGGGGGAGGGGGGGTGGCAACATCAAGCCGTCCAAAAAGAAAAGAGATTTCACGGGACAGATGACACGGAGGACTTCAGACAGGATGACAGTGCAGATTGAGGCGTGGGATTTTAGGGTGCCGAAAGGGTTTTTCGCGGCCAATTAATCGTTACGGCTTTCGGGTCCATTTGAGATTACACTCAAATCTGAAAAGGGGACTAACATGTGTTGTTGGAAATTAAACCTCTCTCGAACCTAAAATTTTAATAAGCACTTAATATTAACGTAGCTAACAGCTTAGAAATTAAACAATATAATTTTAATTGGCTTCTTTAAGTAAATCTAATGTTTCGGAAACAATTACATTCTTTATTATTGAAAACCATTAACTATAGCTAAAATGTTTAGTGGGCTAAACGATAATAAAATTAACTCATAATAACTTTCTTTAAAAAAATTACAAACTAATACCTTTTTTGTCAAAATATTGAGATTAACATTGTTTTTTTTTTAACTTAATGTTAAATTTAATCTGATGATCATGTTTTTATCAATATTAATGATTTAAGAAAAATGAAAACCAAGAAAATATTATTCTGACACTAATAATAAAAAAGTATATTATTATAAAATTGCAACTTTAAAAGAACTACTACCTCATATTTTTTTTAAATATTTAACCAAGGACCCTTACGGAGTCTATTTTTACACCAGTTTTTACTGGTACATAAGCACTTAAGGTTATTTTATGGTTATGCCCCCACTTCCTTCACCCATATTGTTTTCCTTAGTTTCCCCCTTGCACTTCCTTTGTTGTTTACGCTATGGCCACTTGAGCTGCTTTTATTTTATTGAAGATTTGTATCAAAATGTCAACAGGAGCGCAAGTCAACAACAACTAAAGGAACAGGAGCAACAACACTGGCGACGGGAACTGAGGAAAAATGCAGAAGTTGCTCTTTTGATGTGGGTTGTGTGTCTCAAGTTCCATTCTCACCCCACCTTCTACAGCGTTGTTTTTGTGTTTTCCTAGCATTTGAGCAAATAAAATGTTTGCTTAAAAAATTGCAGACATGCATTGCCAGTTGCCTTGTCTCGTGTTCTTTTTTTTCGGTCCTCTGCTTAAGTTGAAAATGTTGAAATGCTCATTTCTACCAAGTTTGCCATTCTCCGTTTTCTGGGAATTTTTGGGTAGTCAGGAATTTACTGCAGTCACGACTTCAGCCTGACACAAATACATTTAAAAATGTGCTAACATATGTATGCTTCCCACCAGAAGCTCACATATTTCTTCTCGCAGCGGATGCGTTGACAGAGCCCCCGAAACTCCCAAAACCCCCGAAACATCCGAAACACCCTTCTTATCAACCATCCTGGAGCAGTGAGCCAGTAACGACAGTTGGCATTTAAGTTCGGATAATGCCAACTGGTAGCGAAGGGCAAGGATGTTTGGGGGAATTATCTGGGAGTGCGTGAAGATAATCTGCTAAGCTATATACAACTCTGATTTCAGCTCAAACTAACTTAGGGGTAAATAGGTTCAGTAATAGGGAGGTTGAGATATACGAAATGAACAGACTATATTCCTAATTATATGCACCTATCGGGAGTAACACTACGGTCATTAAAGATTTAAATGGGGTTTCTTAAGGCCCTCGGTCTTGGAGTATTCTTAAATCATTTTAATAAGGTGATAAATAAAAGAGAACTAACTGAAAGCAATGAAAACTAACAGAACTCACAGAAAGCAATGGAAACAACACCCATTTCCACCATATCAATTTTTCCAACGAAACACGAGCATTGGAGTGGATTCCTTGAGACAAATAACTCACAGGCAGCGCAACCTGAAGAGCCGACTTTCCACCGATCCCCAGACATGTAGAATGTGAAATATTTAATTTACTTTCCCTTGTCCTCCTATTCCAAGCCCATTCCAGCTCCAGCCCCATCAACATCGAATCAACACAAGAGCAAATTCAATTACTCAACACTGGAGCAACACTGGTAGGGGGAGGGGGGGCGAATGGATCGGGGTGGCTGAGAATGTGGCGTGTGAGTGACATTAATGCGATTCCAGCAACTGTCAATCATATTAGTATTTCCAAAGCAATTGCCAAAAATAATGTTCGACTCTTGTTTTTCTGGCACTTTATTTTTATTCGTCCGCCCTTTGATGAGCAACCCAATGATGAATTTGCAATTTAATTGATTGCATCTAAAAATCTACAAATAAATTGCTGTAAATATTTGTTTTAGCTGTGAAGTTCTGGGAATGAATCTTTTCTAGAATTTCGGTAGTTTTTAAGATCAATTCTTACTAAGATTATTAAAGTAAGACGATACAGTAAAAATAACCAAAAACATATAAACGCTATTAATATTAGCAAAAGATAAATATATTTAATAATATTGTTTAATATACATATGTGTTCTTATAAAGTAAATCCTTGCCGAGGGAATTATAATTTCAGTCAAAAGAAATAGTATTTTTTTTTAGCAATTTTATAAATAATATTAATACGGTTTTAGTTTTATAAAAATCGGACTGGAATAGAAAATAACGAAAAATGTATTGGAAAATCATTGTTCTTAAGCATCTAAATAAAAATTTAGAATTTATAATTTTTGTAACAACTGCAAGGGTGTACAAACTTCGGCTTGCCAAATACATTATAGTAATATTATATTTTTTTTTATATTATATATAATATATATTTTATTACATTTAGCAAGCACTTATTTTTTGGTTGCCCAGGTAGTTGCAGTACGAATTAAGGGTATGTCTTGATTCTTCTTAACAGATGACTGAAGCTTTCAACATTTTTTTAAGGGACGTATTTCGAACTGCCTTGCAGCTGGCTGTCAAATACCTAACGAATAAATAACACCCTTGACACACTCATTAACACCCTATTCCCGCTCCAGAATCCCATCGCCCCCGACGCAGTTCAGGGTGAAAAACAAACAGAATCGCTTTCAACATATTTCGAAACGAAATCGAATGTCGAGCGTTTGTCGGACAGATTAAAAATACAATTTACGGCAAATCAATTGCGGCTAACATGGCAACATCGACGACGACGAGGGAAGGAAAAAAGCGAAAATTAAAATGGCCACCGCAAGGAAAACAGTTGGAGCAAAAAATGAAAAGCAAACAAAGGGAGGACCGAATGCCGGAAAATCGAAAAATGAAACCCATCTCGCCCACCGGAAAAAAAGAAGAAAGGACGACAACAATAAGGCTGGCGATAGCAACAGCTGTTGGCATAAATTTGTATAAATAATAAACAATTCACGAGGACAACTCCTGGACGAGCTCCGGTTCTGCCGTTTGGTCCTGGTTGTCCGATTTTTCCTCGTCCATTTGACTTTGGGGCTTCTGGACAGCAGGCTCACCCGGTTGATACTCCCTTGCAGTCCTGGAACGCAGCAATTGCATCTCAAAGGCGCGAACGGACAGCAAACGCTGCTCTCTAGTAAGTTGACAAAAGTAGATGGCACCCATTACATAAGTGCGCACATCCTGAAGGTAATTGAAGACGGGTCCGGCACTCGCGGGAATCGGAATGGGCAGGCTGCCCAGAACCTGGCCCACCGAATCCTTCATCTGAATGGGACACACCACCTCGAACACAATGCACAGCGATGCAATGGCCCCGAAAATGGTGCAGAGGGTCGTCAATCCGTACTCGCACCACAACCTCCGGTGGCAAACCAGCCGCACCGTCTGGTGGGTAATCCTCACGTATCCACACCAGACCACCTGCATCAACAGCTCGGTGACGAGGACCGTGCATAAAAGATCGGCGAAGGCGAAAATCCGTGGTGAGTACTGCTTTAATTTCTTAGGTATCATGTCCGAGTCCCAAAACAGCAAGAGGATGGCCAGCAGGAAGATGTTGCTTCCGATGGAGGAAGCCGGCGAGGATTGATCCTTTGGCTGGGCCACGAACAAGGATATGCCCAGCATTTGCAGCACACCAGTGACCGCAATCGTTGTCAGGCTCACCATCTTGCTACTTGCAATTTCCGGTGAGGGAAAAAATAATTTATTTAGTTACTCGGAAAATTTCGTTACTTCTTATCGACTTACAAATCTTTGGCACAGCTTACTTCGAGTTTCTCCAACTGATAAACCTATCAATTGGGTGTCAGACAGCTGAACTGATAAGTCAAAGGGATACTGGTTCAACTGCTTTTTGCTTTTCCTTCCACATTTAAGGATTTGCACAAAAACATTTTTACAGTTGCTGGCAGATTCAAGCTCCCTTGGCTTTTAAACACGTCATAAGCTTTCGTGATGTCATCCCACCAGCTCAGCTTGGCCTTAACATTTATGGCATACTTTTGAGGGCCATGGCTTATAAAACACATTCTGAAGTGCCGTAGTTGAAATAGTGCTCTACAAACTCAGGGTATTCTGTTGCCGACAAACACTGTGTTAAAAAATTTGACATATTTTTTTAATGTTATTTTTCAAACTTTAAATTTCTCACAACTGAATAAATGGCGATTTTGATAGTAGCAGGCAATTAAATTACATGCAAACGGATTCTGGTTTTAAAAAGTTATTAAAAAACGAATCCGTTTGCCTGTAGTTTTATCGACTGTTTTCCAATTATTAAACTTTTAAATATTTAAAATAAATTTATAAATTTATTTTAAATAAATAAGAACTTCTTTAAGAATTTTTCTTAAAGAAAGAAAGATTTCTTTAAGATACTTTCAAAAAATCCTTAAATTGTTTGCAGAGAACTAAGTGGTTGCACTTGGACATTTTTTTAACTCGGAAAAATATAACATTCAATATACATATATCCCTTTCTTCTTAGTTCAAAGTTAACCATTTTTGCACGTAAAAAATAAAGAGTATCCAAGAACGAGTAGGCAAATAATTAAAATAGTCACATTCCCTCTTGCTTGTATTTGCTAGTTTGCCTCTTTGGAATTTATATTGGGCACTTTTCTGGCATCTTTCTGGTTTCAGTTTGTGTGATTTTGACTGGCCTCATAAATAATTTGTTGTCCAAAAAAAAAAACAAGTTTTAGTGCACACTTTGTGGCAAGCCCACAAACAAACATACACTTAATGTGCTATCAAACAATTTCATGGACAGTATAAGGCCTCACCAGCTTTGACATTTAAGCGTGACAAATTCCCGGAGAAGTCAAGCACTTTTAATTATCATAGCCTCAGGCCTAGCCAGAGTTTTGCCAGAGGGAGGGGCCTTGAACAAACATTGGCCGAAGTCAATGACAAAACTTTTCGGTGCAGCAATAAAAATCAACATTATTATGCTAATTGGCTTGGATTCGGTGGAGCCGAAGAAGGGGAGTCCAGGCCCTTTGGCGTTCGCCGGTTGGGTCAAGATTTTAATCTCTAAATTAGTTTACAAAATACGTAAGTTTTTTCCCGGAATTTTTAACCGAGTGCCTTAGGTCAGGTACGAACAATCAGGTTGCGAGAATGCCTAAAAGCATGTGGCCCTTATTTGTCTTATGGCGCGATGGCAAAAGGTACACCGTGGGTTCTTTTGTTAACTGCGCAAAGTTTTCACTTGTTAATTTTTTCTTTTACCTTCATTCTTTTCCAGCCGAAAATAATAAGTAAACATTATTTATTTTAAAGGAAGCAGCCGAAGCCGTTGCATATCCCAGGGCGTTTCAAAGTGGAAACAATACCGAAACGGAGGCTGGGAGAAAGACGAGGAAGTTCGCTTGTCATGGTCGCGGGCAGAACGTCAAAGTAATTAAACAAAAGTAATTAAGATTAGCGGACTTGGAGTAGCTCCGAGTCATCAGCGAGGTTCTCGCCTCAACCCGCCGCCATTATGCTCATTATCATTATCATAGTGAACGGGGCCGGTACAAAAAGGTGAGGTTAATGTTAAAGGCAACAATATGAAAAACTCCCTGACAACTTTGACGTCATTATAGCTGGCCATCTCTCACCGACTCTTTATATATATATTAATGTGGTCCCTCGCTGCGCAGCTCCCTCTTCCTTTAGGGGTTTTTGGCAAATTATTATTGTTATGAAAAGTTTTGCCGAACAAAGCTAATGATCTTTAAAGATTAGTTTCGAACAATAACAGCACACACTTGAAACTGGACGCGGGCAATCAAGAAGGGGTCACGACCCTCCAGGAACAATCATCATCAGGCACTAAACTTAATCGACAGCTGACTTGCCATATTTCTCTCCCGACCTCTGAACCCCCAATCGCCGTGCTTCATTAACTGCCACACACTCAGCCCTTCCTTGTGGGGAATCCAATCCTTCATTGGCTTAACTCCTGGCTATCATCAACTAAAAAGAAAATCCCTTCGACTCTGATTCTGGCGAGCGGTTTGCCAAACTTTCGGACAAGCAACTTTCGCAGATATTTGGCCGCTTAAATTATATTTCCCGCTGCCAAAGGTCGGGTTTAAGCGTTGATAGGCATCCCACAACCACGCACCGAACGAGATTTATTAGCATTCAAAGAGGCATTCTAGCCTGCCGCTTACCTCCTGTGTATGGGGTAATTTTTCACCGACCAACTTTTGTTTTGATTAAATGAAGCTTAACGAGCGACCGCACCAGCCACAACCAAATGCACTGGACAAAATGTGTATATACTTTAACTTGGTTATGCAAAGTGCAGAATATTAAAGCTACGATATAGTAATAAACGCTATTCTATCGTATAATAAACTTACGTTGATTATAAAATAATAGCAAAAAAAATTACCATTTTCTAAAAAGTTAAATGTATCCTTTGTTTAATTAAATCTATTATGTTTGTATCATATACATATCACAAATTGAATTCATAGATTCATTAATTGCGGGTGTAACTTTTCACTATTTTTCATTTTAATTAACAAACTAATCAAACGGTGTATACAAAAAAATCAATCGAAAACCTACATGATCTAAGTTTCTATTACAAAGTTTCCCTACAAAGTTTTGTTAATACAGGCGAATACCAGTCTTAAAATAATCAACGAAAGGATTAAATGAGAAATTATCAAATTTCTTAGTACCATATTTTATTTCCCAGTGGAGCAGCAGCTACGTGTTACTCATAGACGGGTCTTAGCCGAGCTCGAGGTGCTGCCAACTAACTAATGAGCTGATTTACAGCCCAACACGTCCAGGACAAAGGCCAAGGACTGCAGTTTGCCGAAAGGTGAATGGCTGGGGAGTGGGAATCGGGAATTGGGAATCAAGGTGGAGCGAGGTCGTATGACAAATGCGCTTTTGTGTTATTTATGGTGACCGCAGGACAAGATGTTCTACGTGCGGTCATTAGGCCTGTAGGCGTTGCTGCCTCGCCATATAAAGGCAATTTGTATTGGGTTATCGATGTTCTACAACTGACTTTGAAATGCTGGGTAAAACGAAAGTTCTAGAAAGTTGAGGACATGTCTCAAAACCATTCTTTATCTTCCAGAACTTTTAAAGTCTACTTTTTAGCAGATAATCTGGACTAATAAGTATTCAAATCGTTAATACTTAAACTGTTAAAGTCAATTACAATTGTTTTGCAACAATTTAAATAAAAATGTATACAAAATATATTTATTAAAGCGTAAAAACAAAATTATTAAATGAAAAAAAGAAAGCTCTATTTATCTCCCACTTCCCAAACTTATTAAATCTTTTGAATATTTATTGTTTTTTTCTTGTTTGCATTTCTTTCTCCCGCGATTATCCCTAATTAGCCTCTGAAATATATACATTCTCCAGCCAATCAGGCGAAGGACAAAGGCAATCCCGGCGACCTAAGCCCCACTGACAAATTGTAATTGTGTGACAAACAGGCGGAAATCGGCTTAAACTTGCCTTGCCACAAAGGAAATCCGCTGAAGGTGGTGGCGGATGGTTTAGGGCATGACTTCCTTTATTGAGTTATTAGCCACACTTCGTGGCAGCTCGCTTTTGGGCCATGTGGCAAGTCAATTTGTCAGTGGTGAAAAGTTTCATCAGTCACGCTTAGTCATGATTGCTAATAAAGTGCAGACAGATTTTAGGCAAAAGAAGACCCAGTGTCAACCTATTGACAGTCGATGGAAATGGTAATTTTCATTTAGTAGCAATGACAAAACAAAATTCTGGCCATTTTTTTATGTGATGGTTCGCTGGAATCATAAAAACGCTAAGTTGTCTTTAAATTTATCACTTAGGATTTTGTTTTGAATCTTTATACGTTACTTTGTAATATGTTCCTAAGACCCTTGGACTCTCTAAGGCATTTAGTAAATAAAACATACATACAGTTACAAATAGATTTAAATAAAATAACAAGTGTTTACGACGTAAATACATTTAACATTTTAAATTGCCACTTTTGAATTTACATAAAATAAAATTACATTCGAGCTCCGACTCTTATTTAACCAATTCAGAACTTAGAAAAGACCCTCATTCCATTTACAAAATGGTTGTATTTGGAATATAAATTTAGCAAGGAAACATATCAGTGCTCCGTTTTAAGTGGAGGAAAAACACAAATATTTTCCCGTATAATAAGCCCTCATCGACTGCCAGAAAAAATGAAATAAAAAATGTTCTACTTGCGAGGTGCTAAAGGGCACTTATGCGAAACATTGCGTAAGTGCAGCTGTCAGATAACACGGGTTGTGGAGGAGGTGCAGTGGGGTGATGCAGCCAAAGTGAATGCCAGCTTGGGTGTGAAAATTGCTGGAAAAATGAATGCATGCTCAGGGGGAGTCAGCTTTGATTCCATTCCATTTTCAACTTGACTGGGAAAATGGAAATGCGACGTCAGCCTGCGGTTTGTTCAACCCTCACAATACGTGATGTTATTACGTTTGTTGCCCATGAAAGGGTCTACAAATCTCCGCCCATTAAACTTTCGATTCTGTTCTTAAATCTTATTTTATTACTCGCCCTGGATTTTTCCACATGCATTGTTTTCTTTCGTAAACTTGAATATCCCAAGTATAAATCTTCCCAGACGGGCCAAGGAAAGAAAAACTTTTCCGATAGTATTCCCCAAACTATTTTACCTCATTTGGACAGTCCTTAGCACGAAGACTAGACTGCCAGGCATACTTAACCGAAGTAGCAGACAAACTGCAAAAGGAATTGTGAATATATATCTACACAG